CATTTTAAGCATTTTGTGAGTTGGGGATAGTATTTTTAACTGATTTCTTTTTCATATATCCTTTGTTTTAAACCCTAACAAAGGCACAATTTGGGAAATGGTTTCCCAGTCAAATATATAATCATGAGCAATTTGTTTTATAGGAAGTAGGGAATGGCAGGCATCCTCAAATGGAGTTTAAGAAATCCTAATTACACCTGCGGAAGCTGCCACTTTTGGAAGGTATGTAATTAGCAGCCAGTGTGCTGGGAAAGTGATTGCCTGGGGGTGCAGCCCAGAGGCTGTGAATATTGGGGCTCTCCCACTGTGTTCATTATCCCCGCTGGGGCTCTCCGGTCACTTTAAGGCCGACTGCATGACTGAACACGTGTGTGGCCAACTGAGCCCACAGTTCCCCATGCAAAGCAGGTGTGACCACTTAACAAAAATTGAGTCCTTTTTACTTTGTGATTATGAATTTTCTGCTTTTCTAGCCCAGTGGTTCTCAACTTTGGCTGCACATTAGAATCACCAGGGAGTTTCTTTTAAAATCCCGGTGCCCAAGCTGCACTCAGGCCAATTAGACTCTCTCTGGGGTACCTGCCAAGTTTGCACACCAGTTATAGACCAGTAGTTCTCAAACCATAGCTGCACCAGAATCACCTGGAGGGCTTAAACCCACCCCCAGAGATACTCAGTAAGGTGCGGGGGCTGTTCAATACTTCACACTTCTCACACTTACTTTAAGAATGCTGTCCATGCTCAAAACAATGTTGAGTTCCTTTTGAAATTAGAATCTTTTTCTGCATGCATGACAGGCACTGTGCTGTTTTTTGCAGTCCTTACCTCATTTACTTATTTTCACAAAGCTTTCAATCTCATCCTTCAGGTCTCAGAGAAAGTGCCAGCCTGAGACACCTTCTGTCTGCCCTTCACAAAGGCACCTGCCGCAGTTACCATGGCGTCATCTGGTTTGTTCCCTACCGGGCCCTAACCGGTCTGCAGTCTTGTTTATTTCCTCTCTTCTAGCTGCAGGTAAGCTCCGTTGAGGGCAGAAACTCTGCTTGTCTTCACCTCATGCCTAGCAGCCAAAAGGCACTCCACAAACACTTGCTGAATGAATGAATCTACAGAGCAACCCCAGGAAAGAGGTACCTAGTATTTCACAGACAAGGACATAGAAATACAGAAAGATTGAGTAACTTGTTGAGGATCTTAGTGGAGGAACTGAGGTTCAAACTGACCAGGCCTGAGCTTTCAAACCACTGCAAGAACTGATTGTCAGCCTTAAGTGAAAGATAAGCCTTCTTCCCAGCAATAAACTGAATCACTCACTAAGAATGCCATCTTGCCCTTACTGCCACTTGATTCAAAACTATGTTGTAGTTTTTTTTTTCAAATTAACAGTAAAGTTCTTGAGCCCAAACCCACATAGCCAAACTGTAGAAAGTGTCAATTTCTTTCCTATTTAAAAATTTTGGTTCTAGCCGGTTTGTAGAATGGTTAGAGCATTGCCCTGCAGACTGAAGGGTCCTTGGTTCAATTCTGGCTAAGGGCACATACCTCTGCTGCAGACTCCATCCCCAGCCTTGGTCAGGGTGCGAGTGGGAGGCAACCAATTGATGTGTCTCTCTCACATCTATGTCTTTTTCTCTCTCTCCCTTCCATTCTCTCTGAAAAGCAATGGAAAAAGTGTCCTCAGGTGAGGATAACAAAAAACACCCAACTCTGCTGTTCATACCAGAAACCGACTTCAATGCCCCAAAGCAAGTTAAAAATTTCCACCATGTAACATTACATCAAAACCTTTTAATAGAAAATGTTGATATTAAGTGGAAGAAAACCACATGAAAACAAATGGATTTAAATTATCTGACTTTATTGAGCATGCCAATACAATTACTCTGGTAATAAATTACTATATAGTTACACAAATGTTGAGTGCTTTCTAAGAAAATGCTTTGGAATGTGTAAAGGATATGCAGAATCATTTACACAGTGATGTTATAATTTTCAAACTCAGAAGTGCGGTAACATCAAGTTACTGCATAAGAAGAGTCTCTCTCTTATAGCTCATGATTTAAATAGTTTTGAGTTCATAAGGGTTTCAGTGACCATTTCAGCTCCTGCAAGAAGACTGAACTGACTACTTTAAAAGCCACCTGATCCAGTCACCTAGTCTACAGATGAAGATTCCATTGGTCTGGCCAAAGATTACAAAGCTGGTAAAAGATGGAGACTGAATTACAAATCAGGTTTCGGAGGTGCTCCAGAAATGTCTGTTGAGTTAAATAAGGCACATACATCACACAGAACTCTAGTCATATCTGAAAGACCCTGGTTTTAGTTCCTGCTTAACAGAAATTTAAATTAAATCCTGATGTGTTTTTTTGTAGTTAACAAATTTAGTGATTCGGTTGCTTTGGAAACAAAACTGTTCCCATGATTGCAGCCTATCACTGATCACTGATTGCCATTTATGCTTCTTTTCTCCTGCAACGTTTGGACTTGAGCCACTTTCCTTCCTGCTCTTCAGTGCTCACAGACCTGTATCAAGGTTCTCTGTTCTTATTTGAAATTCATCATTAACGCAGGGAGCTAACATCATTATCTACAAAATCATCAGTATTTGCATACGGGAGTTTCTCTTCAAAGCTCATTTCTAACCGAGTCAGCACCTGCTCTGTTCATCTGAATCATCAATGATGCCACAGCAAGTGAGGATGACTTCTGGGGCGTCAGTGTCCCAAATAGCAATGAGATTTCTCATCACATCAAGAATATGCCATATGATCCGTCATGTAATGTACCAAATACTTCTTCCAGCACACATTCTTGGTGATTTATTTTGTCTCTATGCTGCTGGCAGGCAAAAAAAAAAAAAAAAAAAAA